CCTTGTTCACGTTGTTGATCACGCTACATAACACGCTCTCTCTCTCAGAAACTGTATGCTCAGTCTAGTTGCAGTATAAACCACAGGAGGACTCTGTGGGTTTTGAGCAAACACAACTGTGCCTGAATGAGCGTCTGCAATAGGGATTGGCTAGCCGTCCTAGTAGATTGGTATCCTCGAATAGGAGTAGCCATATATATATATATATATATATATATATATATATATATATATATATATATATATATATATATATATAATATTTAACATAATTAATCAAAAAGTGTAAATCGAACCATTTATTAAAGTGCATTGGAAGCATAGGTTCAACAACAGATTTCTTTATTTTTTCCTTAATCATTTTACCTTAAGCAAGGCGATAATGCCACTAAGATGCATGATGTTACAGGGAATGAAAGAAGACGAAAAGACTTTAGTGAGAAGAAGCGAGGAAATGTACAATAAAAGAACTGGGTTCAGGAAGACAGGATTAACGTGTTAAGATGCCCTCATATGCAAATTGTGATTTGTTCAGTAGTAACCCACAGAGGCAGAATATTCACGGAGAATTGAACTCAAAGCCTTGATATCAGGATACCAACTTTCCAAGCACTGGAGTCGATCAATTGTTAAACGGTAGCCATCTTCATAGAAACATGTATTGCGTTAGTATTGTGCTTGTACCCGAAAGAATTAGCCCAAAACACAGCAAACATTTTGGCTGCAAAATAAACCCACAAATAAAAAAAAAAAGGAAAACAAATTGTGCCGTCGAGTGTAGCGAACCAACCGCGTTCCTTTCCTATTCAATTGCTAAGAAATAAATTCAACTCTTCCAGTTTCTTCCCACCAACCGCTGCTTTGGATGCTTCCCCAATCACAACAATCTTAACCTGCTCATGTCTAGCGTTAACCGTTATCTATCTATCTATCTATCTATATATATATATATATATATATATATATATGAGATAAAGATTAAATAAGCTAAGAGATGAAATATAAAATAAAGTGAGGGCTCAGTGTCAAAGCCGGCAGATCTTAAATTTATTATATTATAACAATATTAATGTAAATCTAAATTACACATGCGCATGAAAGAAAAAGGGTGGGGTTGATATTTTAAGCATTTAAAACTAAAATTTGAATAATATATTTTAAGTATGCAGTGTAGCCAATTTTATTTAGTTTCCTTTTCTTTTGGCTGTGTCCTTAGAATTTTTCTTACTAAGTAGTCTGCATTGTTTTCATACATCTGCCAAGGAACAAACTTACTCCACTTTTTACTTTTGTATATTGACTGACACGTATACTACCCGCATGTAGACTGTTTGTTGTTGTTGTTGTTTTTCTTCTTCTTCTTCTTCTTGATCTAGTTCTTCTTTTCTTGTCTCCTTTCTTATATTTTCCTGTTCTTGTTCTTTTTTTTTATTCTTTTTTCTTCTTTTTTTATCTTGTTCTTGTTCTTTATTCTTTTTCTTCTTTTTTATCTTGTTCTTGTTCTTTTTCTTCATCTTTTTTACTTCCTTTTCTTGATCTTGTTTTGGTTTTTGTTTTTCTTCTTCTTCTTCTTCTTCTTCTTCTTCTTCTTCTTCTTCAGTGTTACCTGAAGAACCCGTGTAAATGGATGGCGAATCGGGGGCCTTAGCAAAAGGAGAAAATTCCAAATTTGTGTACAGTCATGATCACCTATATCCTGAAGGGAAGCTGCAAAGAAAAGATCTTAATGTTGTTAGGATTATCTCCGCCAATAGTAAATCATGATAAGACTTTTAATTCTCTTAGGATCGATTTGTCTTTTTTCTGCTATCACTTTATTAGCTTCTTCTTCTTCTTCTTCTTCTTCTTCTTCTTCTTCTTCTTCTACGTACCTTGTCCTTTCAGGTCTTTGAAGATCATGGTTCTCCACATTTCCCTGTCCTTTTTAACTCTTAATAAAGTTCGCCATTTTGTCTCTTCTAAACTCTGAACCGCCATTTTGTTATCTCTTCTAAACTCTGAACCGCCATTTTATTATCTCTTCTAAACTCTGAACCGCCATTTTGTTATCTCTTCTAAATCCTGTTCCGCCATTTTGTTATCTCTTCTAAACTCTGAATCGCCATTTTGTTATCTCTTCTAAACCATGTTCTGCCATTTTGTTATCTCTTCTAAACTCTGAACCGCCATTTTGTTATCTCTTCTAAACCCTGTTCCGCCATTTTTGTTATCTCTTCTAAACTCTGAACCGCCATTTTGTTATCTCTTCTAAACCCTGTTCCGCCATTTTGTTATCTCTTCTAAACTCTGAATCGCCATTTTGTTATCTCTTCTAAACCCTGTTCCGCTATTTTGTTATCTCTTCTAAATCCTGTTCCGCCATTTTGTTATCTCTTCTAAACCCTGTTCCGCCATTTTGTTATCTCTTCTAAACTCTGAACCACCATTTTGTTATCTCTTCTAAACCCTGTTCCGCCATTTTGTTATCTCTTCTAAGCCCTGTTCCGCCATTTTGTTATCTCTTCTAAACCATGTTCCGCCATTTTGTTATCTCTTCTAAACCATGTTCCGTCATCCATTTACTCAACCACTCTAGGTAGGTTATTCGTTATTTTCTTCTGTTCTTGCTTTCAAACTTTTTTGTGAGTATCAAATTCTCCAAACCCTCTTTCTTCATTAGGTACCCTAGAAATGACATATGCCTCTTTCTGGCTCTTGTTGAAACAACCGTTCCCGTACGATCATCGCAGTTAAGGCAATGAACCTGGACAGTAGTTAGATTGGTAACCGCTTTGGTATACCAGGTGCTAAAAGTTTGGATGTGCGGGCGGTGTAACAGATAATTGGAAGTCGGAGAGCCGAGTTCCAATTCCAGTTGAGAAATGTATGAATCCATTTCTTCCCCCCAGTTATGGGATAATTAGTAAAACTTGCATGACAAAATCATTATTATCTCTAAAAAGAAAAAAAATCTTAGAATTTCAAAATATTTTCTAGTTTTAAATAATTTTCAAACATTTTATAAGCCGTAGAAAACTAATTCATGAAAAATTATGTCTCTGATGTAAAGCATCAGTGTCTTATTTTGTTTTTATTTTCTCTAAAACTTCGTCGTTGCTCACACTTTCAATCTATAGCATTCTCAGCATCCTTCTGTAGAACGACATTTTATTGCTTGAAGCCTCTTTTTCATCTGTGATGAGATTGTCCGGCATTTACTTCCATATAGGAGGACTGATATACATAACAATTCAATTTTTCTTTGTTTCTAACGAAATTGTAGCTCGTAGGTGTGAATTTGCCGATTTGTGGTCCTAATTTTCTCTTAATTTTCTAACACCTTTTCCCAGGGAAGTAAGGGAGACAATCCTCCAGAATCTATGTTCGAGAATGAGGTTTATCAATCACTGTTACAGATTTGGGCTTATCAGATAGATCCTTTTAATTATTCATTGTCTGTGTTGAATGACAAAATTCCCATCATAGAAGTCTTTCTTTCTCGTGAGATTAAACATTATTATAAACGATCTTTTTCTATGTGTCGTTTCCACTAAGGACGATGCCAATCACGGCTCTCCTCAACCTTCTGTTCTTTGTAGCTCTCAATATATTTTGTCTTTTTGTCATCTCTTCCAAACCCTTCTCCTTAATCAACTCGAGTTCGCTAGATAGGTTAGGCGTTGTTTTCCTCTATCCCTATTGTCTTGAGTCTTTCTAGTGAGTATCAATTTTTCCAAGTCGTCTTTCCTCATGATGTGCCGTAGAAATTTTAACTATCTCTTCCTGATGTTAAGTGGAAGTGTCATTTTGGTTTCCATTGTCGCTAGAATTTCGTCGTTGTTCACATATTAGGTTCAATGTATTTTCAGCATCCTTCTGTAGAACGACATTTCTCTTACTTCAAGTCTCGTCTTCCTCTGTGAAGAGAGTGTTTAGCATTCACTGCCATGTAACAGAACTAATATTACGTAACAGTTCAGTACGCCTTTCATTGGTTCTAATTATTTTTTTTCTTTTTCTTAATACTTTTCTTAGCTTTTGGAAGGCGTATTTCGCTATCCCAGTGCAACTTCGGATTTCAGTGTCACATTTTCCCGTCCTCTGTTAAAACATTTGATTTTGGTAGCTCCAATTTGTAATTTAAATGTTGGCGGTTTATGTTGTTAACAACTATGCATTCTGTTTCCTTCCAATCGAGAGTTAGTCTTTACTTCTCGCTTTCCTTCATAACCTTCTGTAGGAGTTCTTCATTTTCTAGTCGCTAACTTGTCATTAGATAATGAAGACATTTTCAAAGTATGTATCTGGAGTGAAGAGAGAAGCAAATCTGCGTTGGTGATCATGTCTCTCCACAATTTCCTGTCCATTGTAGCTCTTAAAAAATATCTTTTTGTTATCTCTCTTAAACCCTGTTCCACCCTCCATTTACACAATCTCGTTAGGTAGGTCATGCATTGTTTTCCTCTGGCTCTCTTGCTTTTAATCTGTCCTGTGAGTGTCAAATTTTCTAAACACTCTTTCCTCATTACGAACCCTAGAAATTTCAGTTGTCTCTTCCTGATGTTAAATATTTTGTCTTTTTTGCTTCTATATTTACTAAAACTTCGTCGTTAGTCACATATCCAGTCCATGGTATTCTCAGCATCCTTCTGTAGAACCACATTTCTGTCGCTTAATGTCTCTTCTTCATCTGATACTATATAACAGTTCGGTACTCTTTTCTTTGTTTCTAATGAAATTTTTCCTGTTTCTTAATACTTTGCTTAGTTCTTGGAAGGCATAAATACAATTGTTACAGTTTATAAAGTAAGAGCAAAGCTGTTTGTATAGATCGTCATGAGAATTATATATCATAACATATTTTTATTTCTGTGTTACTGTGCCGACATTGATGCAAGCCTCCCAAACTACCCTTGCCTTTCCATCGTTTTATACGTAATACGTATGTAAAACTACAAACAGATTTTGAGTGCAACTTTAGAAACGTGTTTGATTGCTCGAGCGATCCGACCCATGTGCGCATGCCCTTGCGTACGCACACCCACCTCTTTTTTACCACTGACTTTCCTATTCCGAACCCAGCTGGGAAGCTGTTGTCGAATTGGGTAACCGGCACTTTCCTGCCTTAACGCCGCACATCGCTTCTCCCACCTGGATTTAAAATTTGCGCACACTCCACTTTCCTGTCCCGCCCACTCCTGCATCACTTGCGCTTTGCATTCAGTTCTTTCTTTCTTTCTTTCTTTCTTTATTTATTTCTTTCTTTCTTTCTCGTTCAGATTTTGAACGAAGTCGACGTCGCCATCTTTCGGTATGCGTTCGCCAAACCCCACCGCCTGTCGTTTATCGATCAATTGGCTTCCCTCTTTTCTCTTTCGTACTGATTCTGCAAATCGGATTTTTTTTCCCTTCGCTTAAATACCAACCGTTGCCTTTTCGTTTTCCTGTCAACACAATGAACGCCTTGATTTGTCTATCAATATCGTCATATCTCTCTTTTATCTTTCTCTTTTTGTTCCTATCTATCTATCTATCTATCTATCTATCTATCTATCTATCTATCTATGTCAGTCTATTCGCTATCTCAGTCGATTCGTTATCTATCTATCTATCTATCTATCTATCTATCTATCTATCTCAGTCTATTCGCTATCTATCTCAGTCTATTCGCTATCTATCTATCTATCTATTTATCTATCTCATTCGATTATCTATCTATCTATCTATCTATCTATCTATCTATCTATCTATCTATCTCAGTCTATTCGCTATCTATCTCAGTCTATTCGTTATCTATCTATCTATCTATCTATCTATCTATCTATCTATCTATCTATCTATCCATCTATCTATCTATCTATCTCAGTCTATTCAGTCTATTATCTATCTATCTATATCTATCTATCTATCTCAGTCTATTCGCTATCTATACACACAAAAACACATACACACACACACACACACACACACACACACACACACACACACACACACATATATATATATATATATATATATATATATATATATATATATATATATATATACATGTTTCATTAAAGTCGACAGACAAGGTACTGCGAATAAGCTTTTTACGTATTTTTTTTTTGTGTTCGAACAAGTGTTTTCTTTTCTGGATACAGTTCCAAAGTAAATAATAATAGTGAAAACGCAGTCAAAATAACATAAATATTTTTTACAAAAGCCAAATGCACGTCGTCAACTATAAACACAATGAATTTTCACTTAGAAATATTAAAAAGAAATACACTAAGCCCAATTGACCCGAACAAAAAAAATCAAATTATCTACCGCAAAAAAAATTAAAACGACTTACCTTATTCCCCAAAATAACAACATACCTGCAAAATTACAACGAACGAATATTATTTATGAGTTCAAATGACCCTTAAGGAAATCATCAAATCGAACTCATGAATAATTACATCGGTCACACCACTACTTGCCTAGCCAGTCGCCTTACTTTACATCTATCCGACCACAACTCCATTAGAACCCATTTAAATAGATACGCAAACTTCAAACACGCTCAATCCGAAATATTCTAGTAGAAAATACAAACAAAATAACATCATACGCATGTAAAAAAAGATTAAATATATTGGAAGCATTAATAATAAAAAAGAACAAAAAAAAACAGTCAATAATATTAACTGCTGTGCTGTGTTCAGAAAATAAAACATATGTATAACTCTAGAAGCATACACACAACCCATACACCCAATTAAAATGCAAAAATCAAATCATCCTTGATAATGGCTAAAAGTATAACCGAAATTGCTCGGAATTACAGAACATTTAGACAATTTCTACACAAACTGTCCGAAAAAGAAAACTTGTTCGAACTAAAGTAAAATTAAATAAAAAGTATAATCGCATTAACTTGTATATCGTTTTTAATGAAACATGTATAAATGAGGTATTGTTGCCTAAATACACAATATATATATATATTTTAAGACATTTTTATGTTTATACATTCTTTTTATAGATACAAATATTTAAGTAAATGTTCTGATTATAATAAACAGTATTAAACAACTTTTACCGGCCTGAATGTCCGAGAAACTTTCACAGAAAATATTCGCCCTCCGAAAGGATTTGAACCTGTATTCTATACGGAACCGTCATTTAGCTTGACGTGCCTTTACCGATTTCGCCACAGTGGAGCATTCGGCTAGCGAGGTCGAATTTACTTTATTTAAACTTCAATCTTCTATGAATCTCTCACGTACATTCATATCTGATCATGGCGTATCAAATAATTGTCGGACTTTGTCCATTTCATAATGTGACTTCATATATATATATATATATATATATATATATATATATATATATATAAAGTCCTAGGTATGATGATAAATTACATCCAGTAGCAAGGTTTTGGGGAGTATGGTATCACCTCGTAATTACTGTTGTACCTATCCACCCTGATCCAGGGTGGTAGCAACAGTAAGGGCAAATAATGAACCCAAAAAACGAAACATTACGAAAGTATAAAATTACATGTTTATAAAAATAAAATAATTATATATATAAAATTTTCTGCACAACACAATCGTTGGTACTGATAGAAAACTGATCGTTGCATAATTTGAATATTGATATTTTTACAGTAGTGTAATGATAAACACATATATATGCACACACACACACACACATATATATATATATATATATATATATATATATATATATATATATATATATATATATATATATATATATGCAAGCAGTTACTGCAACGAGATTATAACTACATTTTTATATTATTTTGCCCTGTAAATAATTTTAGTACGGGAGAAATATCAATACTTAAACAATACAACGGACAGTTTTCAATCAGAACCCGACGATTCCGTCCATATTCTTGCAAACGCTTATGGTCAATTTGGGACAACGGACAATATGGACAATTTTTGCTCTCTCTTTCTCCCACCGAATGGGAAAATCTTTTAAAAACTAAATAAAAAATCAATGAAATTCTCCTTGTCTATCATATTTATCGAAATTTAAAAAAAAAAAGTTGTCCTATATATATATATATATATATATATATATATATATATATATATATATATATACTATACTTAAACATGAAAACAATAAACAAAACAAAAAATTCTTGAAGCTATATATATAAAACAGTTGAAACCTAACCTGAACAAAATAAACTATTAAATCTATACAAATATTCTTAAATGCGTATAATTTATAACAGAAGCCATTGGTTTATACCAACGGCTTCCCATACTTAATACTTTTAGTTTTCACTCTAGAGTGGACATGTGTGACGTCATGATCTGCAGTGCGATTTTCGCTTCCAGCGTCGTGTATGCACGATTTTATCGTTGTTTGGAAATCATCCATGTAAGCAAAAACAGAATATCATTATTGTTTTGTCCGTGTGTTGTTTAATATATTGTAATGTAATTGTCATCTTTGATAATGGCTTATGTAAGCCGAAAGCTTAGATAGGATTAAAAAAAATATGTATTAGTATTGTGATTTTCTTTCTTCTTTTAATGATTATGTTATTAATCTTATTATATGACGAATTTATAAAATAAATAGACAAAACTTGTCTATATTATTTAATTAAAGATAATTTAAAATTTTATAGTTATCTGTTAAATGGATATAAATAATGAATTTTGTTTTTAAAATCCATCGTATTTGTTAAATCAAATGTCGAACGTTTGAATTGTATTTTGATGAATATTGTCAAAAAAAAGGTTTAATCAAAAAATTCCAATATGACAAATACGATGGACATAAAAAACGTCAGACGTCGAAATTTTTTTTCATTTAACTACATTTAAGGATTTTTGTTTGTTTTTTCAAAATTTCTTCAAATATATATATATATATATATATATATATATATATATATATATATATACAAATGAGAGAAATAAGAGATCAAGTAAAATTCCGTTGTCCATAGCATTTACTTTTTTAAAAAGTGCTCAATACAAAGGAGAGCAATATATTATTATTTTATTATAACATATTTTAACAAAAACATGTTGAAATCGCTCCACAATACTTTCGTATTTCGGCACAACGTTGTACCTCTTCAGGCGATGTTAAATGACTGGTGATTAAATAATTTTTAAGAAAATTTCAAAAGCAAAATGTTACCTTTTTCCGAATGATAAATGGGTGCGGGTTGAGAAAACACAAGATCAGAATTAAAAATAGACTTGTGGGGTTTGTCTTCATCAACCAACTAAATATCACATCTACGTTAAATAGACAATTAAGCTCAGAGGGTGGAGTTATTTTTACATGGCATGATACACCGGAACTTAGACAAGTCATCATTGACAAATACGGAAAATATTTTAGCAATAAAAGTATTGTGATTGTAGACAAATTCAATTTTTCAAATGACGCTGAGGGAAGAGGAAGTAGGATAATCAGATGTAAAGTTAATTTCAACAGATTTTTTTCTTTTAAATTACTGATTTAGGAAGCTTCTTAAATTAATCAACAGATAAAAATAAAAACGTAGAACATCTGTATAAGATATAAATAATACAAATTGGACAGCAATAGATAGAAAAACTAAATATGAATAAAAAATATAAGATAATTAAGGTGGACCGTATTTTGCTTATAAATTATGGCCATAAAAATTGTACTACTACTTAATTTAAAAAAAATAACTATATGGTAAGGTAAAAGATAAACTGTGTCGGCAATTTACTGATAATTCACTTCTTTGCTTTAGCAGAGATTTTTTATCAGCAAATTGGATAATTTCTAATTTTCATGTAAGCATAACAAGTAACGTTCATTTAAAGATAACAGGTTCTAGCTTTTTTTTAGTATTTTCCATTTTACCGTAGGGATTTTGTTTCTTTTAAGTTTCAAAATATTTAGAAAGGGACATGATATTTTTGTAAGCGTTATTGATGAAAGATAATATATGTTGATACCACCTAGTTTTAAAAGAATTCTTGGTACTCCCAATATAAAAACTTTTATCTGTTGAATTTTCTATAGTAGAAATAGTGCTTAGGTAAACAAGAGAGTCAGTTTGACATCGGTTTTGCAATTTGCAATCGGCATTCGTTAGGATTTCTACAATTACACTTGTTGGTATTATCGTTGTTTATTATTTTGGAAGGGCTATTATTACTCAGATTTTTGTAGTGGTTTAAAATTTTTTATTATTTTTTAATAATTTTCAAATAATTTTATATATATATATATATATATATATATATATATATATATATATATATACTTTACAATTGGAATTAAGATACCTTTAGTAAATGACCGTTTTCAGCTACGAATTTTAATTTTAAAATTCGCAGGATTTTTCAAACTGTTTCTGGTATCAATTTGTAGTGTACAATTTATTTGGAGAAAGAAAAAAAAGAGTGTATGTAACTGGACACATATTAGGAGGTAAGGGGGAAGAAGAAAACATAATTATTGGAATCATATTATGAAGGGAGGAGAGCCTGAGTAGCGGGGAGGAGGGCGAGACCGATGGGCTCTCCTATATCCTAATGGTCACACGGTCAAAATTTAATTGGACGGAAATTCACGGAGATTAACGAAACAGATGCGTTTGTCCCCGTTAATAATACCTATTCGTATAACTGACTGCACTAACCGGCACTTAGATATATTCATTTAAGTACATACATACATACGCTAGCTGGAAATGACCCTTTGGACTCTACCTATTAAATTCTTGGATTAACTTATGTACACTATGTTAGGAAGTCTTCTGCTGGTAGGAAGAATTTAATTACCCAAGATTGGACATGCTGAATCGTATATAATGATTATATATAGGGTATCAGGCTGACCCATATACATATATGCGAGTGTCACGAATATCTGCCCTAATACTGATATACCTACATACATACATGTATACTCCAGTAAATGGTCATTTACTAAAGGCATCTTAATTCTAATTGTAAAGAAATTTTGCTCGGTTTATTTTGTCAGTCAGTTTTAACATATTTCAAATTCTATGTTGTGTTAATAAAACTCGCCTGGATTATACCAACGGATTACTATATATATATATATATATATATATATATATATATATATATATATATATATATAGGGGAAGGGTTATAATAGTTCCAACGAGAGAAAATGTGTATAATAAAAAGAGAAGAGAAACCGCAAACGTTTTTGGTTGTAATGTGGATTTAAAAAAAAAAAATATTATGCTTTATTTTGGGTAATTTTGCTACACGGGTTTCCGGTCTCGTGACCTTCATCAGGCAAAAAAGCATATATTTCCACATATTATTAAAAGAATTTAATTTCTCTTATGTTTTTCGATGTTAAATATTCTCGATATTAGACATTCTCTTTTTTGTGTGTTAATGACCCAAATGTCTTTATTGAACTGACAGTGAAAGAATTCTGCGTGAAAAGTAATAAATCAATTAAGACTGGTCCGAGAAAGGGTGAGAAAGATTCTCATCTTTTAATGACCCCTGTGTGTTCTTAGATCTCTTTCCATTTTTTTGTGTATTTTTTATCAGCATGCGTACGCATACGTATCGGGATAATAAAAATATATAAAATCTGTCACTTAGCTGATTGATGTTATATTAAGCTTCTCTACTTCGGAGTTTCGTTGACGAACATTTGTGTAATCGCTCGGTCCACTCGTCAGGAGGTATCGGCAATTGTCTGTTAGGGTCCCATCTATGGGCAAATAGTTAACACCTAAACTTTTGTAAAAATATGATTCAATACCAGAAATACTTTGTAATAAAAAAAAAATTATTACCAGCAATAATTTTTTATGGAAAAATTATTATCAGCAATACTTAAAATATATATATATATACCAGCAATACAAACAGTTATACATTGTTTAAAAAATATGACCAGCTATAGATTTCTTCAAGGAAAACTATTCCCAGAAATAGGTTTTTAAGAAAAACATATTACCAGCAATAAAAATTTTGTCAGCATTAAATAACCCATTGAGGTTGATATGCCGTAAAACAAACCAAACCAATTTCAACCGAAACTAGAGCTTCTTGCTCGGTCAATGAATGCCGAATATTTCCTTATAAGTATACGGCTAATATTACCATTCATCTATATCAACCTTTCGAACTTCTTTTCCCCAGTGTGTATACTCATTTTTTACATCCCTTTTCATTCTTGCCTCAGTCTGTATACCCAATTTAAGATCTCGTTTTCTTTCTCGTCAGTATCGTGCCATGAATCTATGGAACAGCTTTTCCTCTCGGCTTCATATTTCTTTAACTCAACATCAATACTCTTACGTGTTCTGAAACAAATCTTATCCCACCAACTCGCTATTGTACGTCTCAGAATGTTTACTGTCGGCGGTATCAGGCATTGTGCTCAGTTTAGCAGGATGTGTCGATCAACTTGAATCGGTAAGCCCGGCTTATTGCTATGTAATATACGACACGAAATCAAGAAGCCCAACAATATCATTGAAAGGAAAGTTTCCTTAGGATAACGCAAACCTAATTTGACCTTTTCTTGTTTACAGAAGGATGCCGATTTTCGCTACATATGTACACGCATGCACACACACACACGCACGCAAACATATATATATATATATATATATATATATATATATATATATATATATTTCATTTCACCCCAAGCAATGCGGGAATTGTTGTTCATGATGACGGTCGTCTTTGAGTATAGAATCCAGAGGTTAGCATATTTCTAAGACCGTGGGAAAGCGTTGTTCAGGTTAGCAGTGGATATTTTGATAAAAGTAGCAGAGCGTAGTTCTTCCTTCTGTTCCTCTTCGCCTGACAAGCTGGACTGGACATTCAGATAGGGTAAACAAAATGGACGCCTTTATACACGACGGATTGAATATTCTACGTCTTCTGATTGGTTAACCTTCTATTGGTGGACTATAAAGTGAGTCAAGTCATTTGGGCTAGCTCACTAGTAAACATATATATCCAAAAAAACTGCAACAGGAATGCCTCTAGTACGCAGTGGGTTACAGGGAGTGAAAGTGAGATAAAAGACTGAGTATAGAGATGACTGAGAAAAGAACAGAAATGAACGGGATTCAAGAAAATAGAAGATGGCGATTGAAGTTGCATTTAAATTCTTGAAGATTGTAGATACCAGGGAAGCAAGGGAACGGAAGTGATTTCTACAGGCGGGAAGATGCGAGAAAAGGAATTGTTCGAGTAGAAGTGGCAGTTGCATTCAGCTATTTCAACAGTAAATTTTTCCCAAATTTATTTGCAAATTATAAAAATGGTTATCGTAAAAAATAATTTGTCGCAAAAAATCCCATAAAAAATAATAAAATCGCCGAAAACAAACGCAGTAATAAAAACATGGGAATCTGAAATTTTAGAATTGCGGATCTGGATCAGGATCAGAATGTTTTTGATTTGCTCACCGTATCGGCCTGATTCCAAAATGGTATGATATGTTGGGGTACGGCCTCTAGAAGTAAAGTCGAGAAAGTGGGACACAGTGACATTAGCATTTATCATATATATATATATATATATATATATATATATATATTAAGACATTTTTTATGTTTATACATTCCTTTTATAGATACAAATATTTAAATAAATGCTTTGTTTATAATAAACAGTATTAACAACATTTACCGGCCTGAATGTCCGAGAAATTTTCATAGAAAATATGCGTCCATTTCATAATGTATGACGTCATTTGTTTACATTTGGATACGCATTGAGCAGATATGAATGTATGCGAAAAAAATGATAGAGAATTGTATTTGAAAACTGTAAATTCGACCTTGCTAACCGAATGCTCCTCTGTGACCCAATCGGTTAAGAGGAGGTCAGGTTATATGACGGTTCCGTATAGGATACGGGTTCGATACCTGTCTGAAAACGCATTTTTTCTATGAAAATTTCTCGGAAAATGTGTGCTGTCTTAGGTTGTCTTTTTAAAAAAAATATTCAGTGAAAATGTCATGATGACATTTCTTACTTTAGGTTGCTGGTTGGGACCCAGAAGAAAATGAGTATACAACAGAAATGAAAGGAAATAATCTTACTTATAAAACGCAGATTGTGTGTGTGTGTGTGTGTGTGTGTCGTTTTTATATTGGGATCGTATTTCTTCACAGGACTACGTAAAAATTACATTTTTCATCCCATTATTTTTTCAACAAAACTTCATTAACAGGACTACGTAGAAAATTCGTCCTCGAGTATAGGTGGTTCTGACAACGTAGGAAAAAATTGGAAAAACACAATTATTTTTGCAAGAAATCAATTTGCCTTTATACAAAACACGATTAAGAGGCATTAATGAAATAAGTCATTCAACTCACATCGAGTACCCCAAAAATACATCAGTTATACTTATTATAAAACCCAGGTTGGTTGTTTGTTTGTGTGTGTGTGTGTGTTCGTTTATATATGGAATCGGATTTCCTACATTTTTCAACCGATTTCAACAAAACTTCTCTCTTTTTTTGGCAGGTAGTGTTTCTTATTGTCTTGCACACTTTTTTCTTTATTTTTACATTCAGAATGCTTTAAAAATTCCATTTACAAGATAATTGTTTATAATAAAATTCTATTCAATCAGTAGACTCATGACGATTGAAAACAATGTTTTTGTTTGAGTTTGGGTTTGACCAATTCGTAAAAAAAACAAAAAACAAAAAAACAAAACAAAACAAAAAAACTAATTAAGATATGCGTGTCCATCAACCTTAAACAATAGTCTGTCAATTGTATTTTTCAGTCTTTATGATGGTCGATACTTGATCTATCTCTTACTGTTACATCCCCGGGCAACGCCGGAATCTACTGCTAGTATTTATATATATATGAATGATAAAATTTCGTTACGTTCACTTACGTGCAAAAAAAAAAGTCTTGGGAAAGGTATAAATTCATCTCTTCTCCTCAACCCATCTAAATAGCAAGATACACTGGGTCCTATAGATTTGGGTGTCAACCTCTTTATGAGATAGCCATCTTTGAATTCAAAAAACTGAAGAGTGTCGGATGTGGCACATTGTGCACCAATTCTGTCTATTCGCCCCTCCTAAAAATGTGATTCTGCGCAAGAATTTACCAAAAGTTATCAAATATGTACGGGTAAACTGGTTATTCGGTTCTAAGAACTGAACTGCTTGGTCCTCATACGACGAAAACAATGGCAGAGACCATTATATAATAAAAATATAGTTTTAAGACTTCCTATATGTATGGTTGAATGTGTCCATTATGAGAGATAGAGCGTATGTAAATTTAAATGTAATTAATAACATATTAATAATGAAATTATTGGTAATCCGTATGGAATTTCCAAGAGGATATAGATCTGTGGAGAGCTGTATGTCAAAAGACAGAGCAAAAATTATTTATATTTTATTTCATTGAATTCTCAGACGTGTAAACCAGATCTTCAAATCCTCAGGCCTGTAAACCAAATTTGGTTTACACATCTGAGGATTTGAACCCATGTTTTATCGGCTTCAATGGTTTGTTAAGTGCTTGTTTGCCTTTATTTATATATATATATATATATATATATATATATATATATATATATATATATATATATATAGTATGGTAATGCGTATGGAATTTCCAGGAGCATATCGATCTAGAGAGAGCAATAGACAAAGCAAAATTATTATTAATAATTGAATATTAAAAAATATCAAGCATTTAAAATCACAGAGGTAATATTTTTTTTTATTTCATATTTTTTTTTATTTTCATGTTTCAAGACATACAATATCTTTAACATTGAAAGCTGCTATTTTAGAGCCCTCATGAAATAAAAATTTTTACCCATGGGATTTTAAGTGTTTGATATTCTTTAATTAATATATAAGCATTATATATATATATATATATATATATATATATATATATATATATATATATATATATATATGTTTAACATTTGCTCTATTTATAGGGGTAATGTATTCAATATCGGGGACAGAGGGTGCATTTGTGTGTTTCTCTCACTGCTGGATGTAAAGATCGCTGTGGTAATAGCTCAGTAGGATGGGCGGTAGGCGACAGAATCTTTCTCAAAACTCTTAGCGAAATGTATTTAGTTTTTACTTTCTTTCGCTTCCAAGTTGTTTACAACCAATAAAATAATGGAAATACATTCCCTTGGCTCCACGAAAATACCAGTGTCTTCATTTGGCCTTCCAAAATCCAGCCTGCAGCGTCCTGCTTGATCAATTCCTATTTTCTAAAATACCTTTATGCCAACTGTTTGATCTTTTCTTCTTCTTCTTCTTCTTCTTCTTCTTCTTCTTCTTCTTCTTCTTCTTCTTCTCTCTCTCTCTCTCTCTCTCTCTCTCTCTCTCTCTCTCTTTATATGTTTTTTCCTTCAAATCTCTTTCCCCATTCAAGGAGTGGGTCAGTGTTCAAAGCAATTAGGAACGTATACAAGTATGTGTTAGAACCTCTTTTTTCTTTCACCTTCTCTATTTCTCTCACCCCTCATTTTTTTTCGTCTCTTTCTTTCCTTCTCTTCCGCTCTGCCAACATATTTTGTATGTGCATGCATGAGTACGTATTTAGCAGGTCAGTTTAGAGACTTGAAGAGTCGTTATATATTTCAGCAGGAGGATGGTGAGAATACTTTAACCAGAACAGAACATGTCAGCAACGAGGCAGGTCTAAGGAAAACGGGGACGAAAGAGACACTAAAATTAGAAAGAGACAGTTGTAATTTCTGTGATACATAATGAAGGAGGAAAGCTTGGAGAAACTGATACTCACAAGACGAATTGAGAGAAGGAGGGATAGAGAGAAATAGCGAATAACCTGCCCAACGATTTTATATAAATGTGTGGCAGATAAGGACTGGGAGGGATGGTAAAGAGACAAATATTGTTTAAAGCTATAAAAACTTGTTCTAAGTGGAGAGCCGTATTCGGTCACGTACTGAGGTGATGTGACACATTTAAGAAGAGGGAGATAACGAAAGTACTATATGTAGGCGGTTAAAAGAAAGAAAGATAGATAGATAGATAGATAGATAGATAGATAGATAGATAGATAGATAGATAGATAGAAGAATATACCCACCCCCGTCATGAATACATAGAAGAAGGGGTAACTTGAACGAGAAAGAAAGAAAGCGAAGTTATGGGTGAAATGATAGAATATATTTTTCCTTCATGAATAACTTTTTCGAAGAAATTGTAACTTGTACGATACAGGAAGAATGAAAGAAAGAAAGAAAAGAACCAACCAAAAAGAACGAACGAACGAAAGAAAGAAAGAAAGAGAGAGAGAGAGAGTTAGAAAGAACATACGAACGAACGAACGAAAGAAAGAATGAACAAACGAAAGAAAGAAAGAAGAAAGAAAGAAAGAAAGAATAATTGAAAGAACGAAAGAAAAAAAGAAAGAAAGAGCGCACGAACTAACGAAGGAAAGTAAGAATCAACGGAAAAACGAACGAATGAACGAAAGAAAGAAAGAACGACCAAAGGAATGCACCAACAAACGATAGAAAGAAAAAAAAAACAACGAAAGAATGAACTAACGAACGAATGAAAGAAAGAAAGAACAAACGAAAGAAAGAAAGAAAGAAAGAAAGAAAGAAAGAAAGAGAGAATAGAAAATCATTTTGTTAATTTTAATAATTCCAGTATCAACATTTATCTAAAGTAAGCTTTGGTTAAAATTACAAAGGACAGGAAAATGTGGGGAGCCCTGACCAAGACCCGCTCTAAAGAGACCCAACTCATAAAAGAAGTGAACGATTCACAGTGAAAGAAGAAAATTGATTGCGTTAAGATGAGAAAATGAGAACGCCAAAGAGGAAATAAGACAAAGATTCAGAAATGGGATAATGAATGTTTAAATTTAAAAGTGAAATAATGGAAAGATCTTGTAAATGGAGTAGCAGAGTCAGTGTGTGTCTGTATGTGTGCGCGCTCGTGTGCGTGTGTGTGTTTGTGTGCGCACGCGTGCGCGTGCGCGTGTGTATGAACGAAAAATGAAATCAAAGAAGGTCAATGGAAGAGAACGTCAGATGTAAAAACTGATCGAAGAGAAACATTGAGGGAAATGGGGCAAACATTTAATTTAAAAAAAAAAAGAGAGTAAAAAGCTTGAGGGAGTTGAGGTAAAAAAAAAAAAAAAAGAAAAGAAACGACAGAAAGGAAAAGATTAATTGGATATATGGAAAAAATTAAAAGACAAAAAAAAAAAAATTATGGCGATAGAGACAGCTTGGTTTCGGAATGAAAAGGGAAAGACAAAAAGAGTGAAAAATGAAGACAGAAATATTAAATTCTTCAAAAAGAAACAATAGTTGATGACCAAATGACGTTAAATGTGATTTTACGAAACTCGTAATATACAACGCTCACACACACACACACGCATAGACACACACACATACATAAACACACACGGGCACACACACATACATAAACACACACGGGCACACACACATACATAAATACAAACACAGGCTTTCCTTCTTTTATTTTTCTGTTGTTTCTTTTGATTTACGGATTTCTTGAGAAATTATTTTTAATTATCATATTTCTACAAATTTTGTCCTCATTTCCTCAGTCTTTAACTATAATTTAATTTTTAAATGGTTGTAATTTGTTTAATACAAGTTTTTCTTAAATATATAGTTTAATTCACATTTTTTTCATTATCTGTAAAAAAGACATTTTTTAAAAATATTAACTTAGGGGTTCACTTACTTTTGCACAGCACTATATATGTATTGTAATATATATATATATATATATATATATATATATATATATATATATAATATATATACATATATATGTATATATATGTACATACACTAATATATATATATATATATATATATATATATATATATATATATATATATATATATATATATCCTGTTTATTTTTGTTATTTTTACAGATACAATTATTTATGTACATGCACTGTTTATAATAAACAGTATTAATTGCATTTACCGGCCTGAATTAATGTAATTAATATTGCTTATTATACACAGACTATTTACTTAAATATTGTATATATGAAACGTATAAACAGAAAATATATTCAAAGTTTCTATCTATCTATCTATCTATCTATCTATCTATCTATCTATCTATCTATCTATCTATCTCAGTCTATTCGCTATCTATCTATCTATCTATCTATCTATCTATCTATCTATCTATCTATCTATCTATGTTCATGTATAGACAGGTTGAACATACCACAGTGACTGTTAGTTTCACGATTCAAGTGATCTTCAGACAAAGTCATCATCCTGTGTTGATTTCTGTGTTCACACTGTCTACACCTACGCTGTATCTCTGATATTGAACACTCTTTCTTATGTAATAAAGATAATTTAAAACCTTACACACACACATATTTATATGATAAGTGCATAAAAAAAAAAAAATAGAGAAAATTTAAAAATATATATATATATATATATATATATATATATATATATATATATATATATATATATATATATATATATATATATATATATATATATATATATATATATATATTTATATAATTGCATTCAAAAGAAAAATCGAGAAATATAAGCAATCAATTGCTGATACCTCCTGAGGAGTGGACGGACGGGGCCGTCAACGAAACTCTGGAGTCGGGATGCTGAAGGTAATAAACTAATAATCAGCTAAGTGATAAACTTTTTAATATTAATTCTATTATCTATCTATCTATCTATCTATCTATCGTTTATTTAGGTAGCAATCCTTCCTTTATGCATGTTTCCTTAACAACGACAGACAAGGTACTACAATTAAGCTTTGTATTTAATTTTTCTTGTTCGAAGTAGTGCTTCTTTTTTGGACACAGTGGGTGTGTAGAAAGTGTCCAAATGTTCTTTCGGCGATAATTTCAGCCATAATCAAGAATGCTTTTATTTTTTCAGTTCAATTGAGTGTGGGCGTTGTGCGCATGTTTTTAGTGCTATAGAGATGTTTTATTTTCCGAACACATCACATTGTGACCATGTTCGTAGTTAATAATGTTAATTGTTGCCTTTTTTATTATTAGGGCTTCCATTATTTTTTTTAATCCTTTTTACAGGTGGACGAGGTTATTATTGGTATAGTTGTATTGAAACAGTCCGGGTTCGAATCACGTTAGTGGGTGTGCACTGCTGATGAGGCCCAAAAATAGGGCGAAACGGCCGTACAATGCCGCCTGCATTCTGCTGAGAATTCTTCTAGCCTAAATGAATTACTATATATATATATATATATATATATATTGTTGTGGTACGATCCACCTAATTTACATATTGGAGTACCGACCATATAAATATGGGTTGGTACCGGAAGACCAGAGAGTAAGATAGTAGTTAGAAGAAGATCCAATCCAGAGACTCTGCCCGACTGCGATTTAGTCAACCCATTATGCAGGAAGAGTCTTCCCAAGAATATACCAAAACTATCTGTAAATATTGTGTACCTTTTCCTTGTTTCAATACATTTTGTTAACGTACATTTTGTGTTGTATTATTATTATTCCATGCTTATCCAAGTTTCAACATATATATATATATATTTCAACCTACTCGAATATGCTCTATGCAAATTACGAAAATTATAAAGCACATTGCATCCTACACATAATTTTGATAAAGTTTGATTTCAACCTTAAGTAGAGTTAGAGATTCGCAACCACTAATAAGAAAATAGACAAACTATAACAATTTTTATAAAACACGAATGATATACTTGAGACAAGATTCGTTCTTTGCAGTTTCTCTATACTTATTAAATCGAGAACATTCACCTTTCCACTTAAAGGATACACTTTATGGCTTCATTTTGCATCTTCCAGTTGCCATCATCCCCACACTTTGCGATTATTTTTAATTTAAGGTTATAAATTGTTTGTTTCTAGGATTAGCCGCAAGTAACTGGAACAATACCAGTTAAGTATATATATATATATATATATATATATATATATATATATATATATATATATATATAATTTGGAAATACATAGCAGAAGTAACAGAGCAGAGGTAGTAGCAATATTCAATGCATGGACGAATGGTAGACTTAAAAACGTGTAAAATTACGTATATATATATATATATATGTGTGTATTAAAGAATTATAACAGAAACAAGTAATTTTACACATTTTAAAGTCTATCATTCAACCATGTATTGAATATTGCTGCTACTTCTAGTCTGTTACTTGTGCTATGTATTTACAAATATATATATATATATATATATATATATATATATATATATATATTGAAGTCTATCATACGTCCATGCATAAAATATTGCTGTATCTTCTATTCTGTTGCTTCTGATACGTATTTACAAATTTTAGATAAAATACAAAAAAAATCTGTAAGATTAATGCTACTGTCGTGGTATCTTGGCTTCAGTAACTTTACCACGACTGTAACGTAGCTTCGCTGTGCCTGTTCCATAAATAATTTTAATTGTCTTTATTCTGATAAGCTTTCCACTTTGATGTCCAGACTTTGTGAATTTAAACGCAGTGCTAGATTGACAGCTAGGTCTCGTCATTTTAATGTTGAAATGGTTAG